TTTCAACAGCTTTTAAATCATTTTCATGTTTCGAGTACAGATCATCACAATTTGTTTGCACTGTAACACAATTAGTGTCTAAATGCAATTACTCTTCTTTCTTTCTTTTCTTTTTTCTCCTTCATTTGTGAACATCAGAGTTTCAATTAAATTGTCTTTAGTCACTTGGTTGTTGGATTTCTCCTCCCCCTCCCCCAGTCTATATTAGTGATTAAATCTGTTTTCTTAATCTCTCTGGGTACCTCAGATGCCAGAGAAAGCATTGTTGAACATGCTTATCGAGATATTACTATCTGTACTATAATAATTATTACGTTCAGTGTATCAAATTTGAATGGAAATGGAACAACTATTATGGGAGAGATTATACATTTTAGTCCTCCTAAACCCAGATGTCCTATCAGGATTCATTATTGATAGGTATGACCTTATAAGATACACAGATGACACACAGTGTTGATGGCAGACACAGAAGGAAAAATTCAGGTCCTCCTAGACATAGTAGTTAAAGGAAAGCAGGAAGAATGGACTAACCATCAGTTGTAATAAAACAGAATGTATGGTTTTTAGCCAGAGAACCAATCCAAGATGTCAGTTTTGAATTGATATGAAATCAAAAAAGTACAGAATTTTAAATATCAAGGAGGTGTTTTAATGAACAGTGGAAAATATAACACCAAAATCCAAAGGCTTATTGGAATAGCAAAAGATGCTTTAGAAAACATAAGCAAAGCATTAAGAAACAGGAAAATTTTGTTAGAAATGAATAACATAATATCAGCGCTCCTTTATAGCAGTGAATGCTGGGCAGTTTTCTCACAGGTAAAGAGAAGACTTTTAAGGGAATGGATGTGGTTTCACAGAAGGATGGCGATAATATCATGGACAGAGTATGTTAGCGACAAGTTTTATGGAAATGGAATAAAAAGGATGCATGCTTAGAATTAAGAGATAACTAAAAGCTACAAACGATAGGAAGAGATAGTCATGATTGCTCACAGATTGAAGAGATATGCTACATAGAAGTAGAAACCCAGACACCTTCATTTTCTAAAACAATATTGCTAGATTTCCAGAGAAAATCTCTGCATGTATTCCCCACAATGGATAATCTCATTCTGTTATTAACACTAGCATTAGTTCCTGACCTGTGACAATCCATTTTTTCATAAGATTTGCTAAAATCTTAGTTTAATCACTTTGTTTCTATCCTGCTAGAAATATTTAGTTTGTCAATGCAGAAAATGACCAAAGTTAAGTGTGTGTTGGGGAGTTGTGGTAAAGACAGTGGGCAGTTATAAGAAAAACCTAAAGCTTTTTCATATATCATATATATATATTTAGAACCATTTTTAATGTTTTATTTTTTCCTCTGCTATGTCATTTAAATTTGCTGTCACTATAAATGTCATCATTAGTGAATGAGTTTTGATGTATTAAATAAATCCTACCTGTGATATCATTGTTTACTTTCTCAACTAGTTTGTACACACACACACTATTTTTTCTCACAATGGACTATTAAAATAACAGTTTATCCATACTGTCAAAAAATGAAGACATTGAATTGGTTTTATTTTCTGCATCAGTCATCTTGGATTTTTGAAACTCTGTTGTCACATCTTTTAAGGAATTCTGCATTTTAATTCATAAAATTAAAAATATCCCATGAAGATTAATGCAATAAAAAAATTAAGAAGCTGTGTATTAGCAGCCTGATGTACCTACTTACTGGAAATATTTGCTTCTTGCTGTTACTATAACATCAGGCTTTCATTGCTAAAAATAAAAGAAGGGTAGATCAGGTTGCATTACATATAAATATACATTCACTGACCACTTATTCAAGTATATGTGAACAAATCCTCTTTTATACAAATTTCTAATCGGCTAATGACATGGCAGCAATTTAATGGATATAGGCGTTTAAACACGGTCATGATGACCTGATGAATTTCACACACATTCATCTCTAGGGCTTACATAGAATGGCCAGAAAAAAAAAATATCAAGTAAATGACAATACTATGAATGGGAATCCCTTGGAAGAGAATGGCCACGCTCTTTCAAGCTGAGAAATAGGCAACAATAGTACAATTAACTGCTCTTTACAATACAGATATCTCTGAATTCATAAAATATTGAACCTTGAAGTAGATGAGCTTCAGCAGTAGAAGACCACACCATGTGCCATTCTTGTCCTGTAAGAACAAGAAACTGAGGTTATAATTTGCTAAGAATCACAAAAATTGGACAAAAGATTTAGTGATTTGTATTTTATGGTTTATCAACCTTTTGTAGGTTATCTAAAGCCAAAAATATTTTCAGATGGAAAGAATTTTTTTGAAGATAATTATGATTTACTGATACAAGTCCCACTGATTAACCTATAACTGGGTGGGGAGGTGGATTCATACCTTTCCCAAGGGTATTTGTATATAAGTGAATATAATGAACCTGACTGGAATTGGAAATCGGCTCTACAGTATTCAAATCCAAACCACTATACATGCAAACCTTACAGTAAGCAGTTACCCATCTAGATACTGACCAGACTCAATGTTGCTTAACTTCGGTGATGATGTGAAAACTGGTGTTTTAACAATACAAAAGTATGAATCCCTGTTGTATCAACATCTCAGGCTACTGATGGTGTAATGGTATGGGGAATATTTTCTTGGCATACATTGGGACCTTTGGTACCAATAAAAGATCACTAAAATGCTACAGCTGACATAGTTATTATAGGTGACTAGTTACCTCAATTTATAACTATGGTGCACCCATCATCTTGTGGCCACTTTCAATAGGACAACACACCATGTCACAAATGAAAAATATTGGTAGACTGGATCATAGCACACAGCAATGAGTTTTGTGTTAAAATGGTTTCCACAGTCACAATAAAGCCCCTTTGGGATATGGTAGAATGTGAATTCAAATCCTGGATGTGCAGCCAACCAGTCTAGAAGAATTGTGGAATGCCATAACAGCATGAACCCAAATTTTAAAAGAATGCTTCCAAAACATCATTGATTCCACACCAATAAGAACTGGGATGACTCTAAAAGCAAAAGTGGGTTCAGTTTGGTACTAGAAGAGTATACCTAAAGAATTGACCAATGAATGTATAGACACTTTGCGTTTTAGATGATAGATGCACCGACTTTGAATACATTGACTACTCTTGGCATAAAGAGGAACTATAGTTGGGACGTATTAAAAGAAAATAATTGTACAAACATTACCAGTCCATTTAGTTGACTTATTGTCTTGGTTGTTATGACTGTCTCTAAAAATAATTATTATTCAATTTGGCCCTCATCTTTTGAACTAAATGTTTTATGACAAACACAATATTTTATCAAATGCCTGGTGCAACCATTCACTTTGTTGACTTTGGATGAATGTTGGGAATTAGGGATAAAGGTAAATTCAAACTAACAAGTAGGAAATAATTATCAGAGGGAAAAGCACTTTCATTATTATTATTCTTATTATTAAAGATATATTAAATAAATAAAATATTATCTATTTTAAATGAAAATCTTCTTTTCTCCAACTATTCCATTTCCTACCCATAAGCCTAACTTATAACTTTTTTCTGGTTACCAAAATATGTCTTTTCTCTTGACTTAATTCTCATAAAAATAGATACTATTCTTAGATCTTAAAACTGCTTAAGTTTTAAGAAAATAAAAATCCAAATCCATCATTTACTGTTAACCCATGCAAATAGATATTTTTCCCCTTTTTATTATTCCTTGTTTAATTAACTGTAATGTTGAAATAGGTTAAAATGGAAATAAAATAAACTAAGAAAATAATGTCAGTTTTGAATGCTATTTAAAGCTAAGTTAGTTATGCCAGGTGTTCTTAAGAAATGAGAATATTATCTCTTATTTTTCCCTTCTTCAGATGCAAACCAGGATATTAATCTCTTTGAAATCCTAATTTAAATCTCTAACATTTGAAAGAAATCAAAAAAATATTTTGAGGTGGAGGGGGGTGAGTCGGCCAATGTAAATTTACATTGGGATTTAAAACTAGTAAGCTATACTTTTTTTAAATGTATAAAATAATAGGATTTATTTTTAAGTTTTAGAGGTTATATGCAACAGTGTTGGAAGTTCATATCTCATCTTTGTATTGTTGCTGTTGTTAACAGAACTTTCTGAAAATCCATTCTCCAGCCATCATGTGTTGAGGTAGAAGAAACCTCTGACCTCAAGGGAAGGGGATAGAAAGCCTATTGGAGAGGACTATGTTTCAATTGAATCTCAATTATTTATTCTGTTTTATTTACCTACTTTTTCTTTTCTTTCAGGTAAGTGATGAAATTGGTTGAGAAAAATTCATTTCTGTATGTTGACACCTGTTTCTACACAGAAGGTAACTGTTTTTCAATCATTTCCTAAGATAAATAGCCATTTTGTGATAATTTTGTTAAAAATTAATGTTTTTGTTGTAGCATACCTACAGACAATAATGAGTATGTCCCCATTCACGTAAATACAGTAGTAAATACTGTATGTTGGTCTGCAGTTGGAGATTCATTGTGGAATTTACTTGACTCACTTCTAACAGTTGACTACTACTTCTACATGCCACTGGAGAATGTTAGATGTGTTGTTCTTGTCCTAAGTATTATCAACCTTCGTTTGATTATTCTATTTAGTAACCTTCCCTAGGTTACAACAATTTTAGATATACATCTTTCATATCATATTTGCATATGAATCATAAAATTTAAAATACATTAATGTGTAAAACATTTCTGATAAATTTAATGAGAAATAAATAGTTTCTCTAAATACAAGTAAATTGTATATTATGTAGCATTAAAATTTCTTTTCATAATATTGGATTGAGTTAATGTTTTTCATTATTATGTCATAGAAGCAATTTTCCAAGTAATCACTGATATACATGTACTGTTATTTGCTTTCTGTGTACAAGCATAGTGCTTTGCTGTCTAGGATTAGAGGCTTATGGACATG